CCGTACAGACGTACGACAACCCAATGAGACCGCAGGACATGACACTGCAACGCAAGCACGAATACATCTCTTAACATCCTCATCGTTACCATTCCGACATCCCCCCACCGTCACCATAGTCAGCACCGTCACCACCACCGCCGCCGTTCCTATTATCACCACAAGCACACATCAACGGCGTGCCGCATCGCATACCAGGAGGAGGAATAAGCCCGAAAACCGAAAAGGCCTCCCCGCCACGCATTTCAGCGCAGCAATCAATCACCTTCACCACCACTACCACTACCAGGATTGCAGATACGCACCACTCACACACGTGCGCCATTTGACCCTCTCAAATGCCAACCTCCAGCCCTCCTCCTCCTCTTCCTCCTCGCAGCTCCGCTCCACTCCTGTCCACTCCTCTGTCAGTCAACGCAGCAACGGATGGAGTGATGGACTGCTGCTCCTTTACAGCTCCCCCCCGGAGGCCATCTCCAGCACTCCCGCCGCCGCCCGTAGCTCCGGCGTATCCAGCTGCAGCCTGGCAATTGCCGTGTCCGTACGGATGCGAGCCAGCAGCGTCTCCACCCCACTGAACCGGATCTCGGGCCGCAGGAAGCCCACCACCAGCACCTGCAGCCGCAACGCAACACAGCACATGTCCACATCATGCATTACTAGGGTTGGCACGGGTACTATACTAGAAGAGAGTACTATACTATAATAGTACTATGCATAGTACTATTTACTATGCAGGGCTCTAAACTGGTACTAGTTTACGACGCTCGTACCGCGTTCGTACATAGTGAAATAGTATAGTAAAAATAGTACTAGATAGTACTAGATTTGGGTTTGGATAGTGTCCAGTACTAGTTGGACCAAGTCGAGATCTGCAGTCAAGCTGTATTTTGAAGGGCTATAGCCGCGTCTTCGAGCTGTTCTACGTAGTTATTGATGAATAATGTCAAAGGAATCCAGTATAAAGAATGACAAGGCGATCAGAGGCTTGCATCCTGGTCCAGACGTCCCCCCTGAAGTTCTCCGTTCTCGGAACGAGCTTTTTAACAAGCTACGTAACCAGAAAAAGAACGCCAAGACGGGTAGTCTTTGGGACAACTTCGATGTGGAGTGGTGGGGTGGTCTACCAAAGCTAGTCTGCCTGTTCTGCGATGAGCCGCTCAGCGCCGCGAACCCATCCTTTGCCAACGCGCACCACATCAAGCAAGGTGCTTGCAAGGCTATCAAACAGCGTGCAGCGTCACTCAGCCAGCAACAACACGCAGATTGATGACTGAGCAACGATAGATTGAGCTGCGGCAGTTTGCTGAATTGGAGGGTTACGTACTGGGCCGTTGTAGTGCAGGAACTTCACTAGTATGGTGTCCGTGTGTTGTCTTGTCAACACTGGGTCTTCTATCTGTGATTATGTCTTTATGTGCCATAACACGCCTTCAGACATGGGGTTTGGGGTCCACCTACCGGGCACTGAACTAACAAAAAGTGATCTGGATGACCACAGCGATCTGCTTTCTCATGTCTAAGTAGATATTTAGAAAGAACAAAAGAAGACCTTTCCAACGGTGTAATTTTCAGGTACAACGGTTGGTCGTAAACCCCCCTTCTACAGGGAGCGTGTACCTGCCTAGTAATAGTATCATAGTACTATATTACTATATATAGTACTATTTCTTACTATACTATACTACTTGGGAAAATAAATATAGTATTTTTGCCAACCCTAGAGTAATGCAGCATTACTCTTTGCTTCTTGCATATACCCACCTGGCGCCTAAACTCCCCACACACACACAAACACTCAAACACACACACCCGAACCCGCACCTCTAGGTGACT